CATCATCTGGATGCAACACCTTGTGTAGGAATTTTCCTTAAAACTGACATTTAATGTTTACTTCAACCAGTTAGCAAGTCAGTCCTATTCAAGATGGCTGCCACAATAATGTACCAAAACCAACACACAAAAAGCGTTATGACATATGCCCAAGTGGAGATGGGCAGCTTTGTATGTGCATAAGGAACTTTCCATTCTTTTGAGTAATGCTGAGCCTTATTTTAGAATTGAACCTTTTCCCTGGAAATCTTAGAAACTAACATTATGGAATTGTGTTAACCCATAAAATGTCTCAAGAGCAGTACTGCCAGTTTTTTGTGTACGATTATTTGTGAGTTTGAATGCGTTCTCATTGCAAATTAAATTACAAATTCACATTTTTTTTACTTAAACAAACTGAGATCCCATGTATATTTCAGAAAGAACTCATCCTCTAATACGTTTGAGATGGAAAACACTGAATGTCACTGTCTTCTGATTTTCATCCACCTGTTACACTGAAAGGCCTCAGGATGTTGTTGTAAACTCATTTGCATGTGTTCATATTTTTAACATGAGGGTGAATGATTCAAACACTTGGAGGAATTCTTGACCATGTGACTGCTTAGACAAGAACTGATGTGATGCTGTCCCACTAGAATAAAAATGTTCTTGTAATTAAAAAAGAAAGAAATGCAGGGTCTGCAAAACAACTAAATTTGGATAAATATTGCTTTTAGCAAATGTAGATTTTTGTTTTGTTTTGTTTTGGACTGTCAGTCTGCTGTTTGGTTCAACCAGTAATTTAACCCACAGGAAAATATCTCCTACTGATGTTTGCACAAACATTAATTATTGCCAGAGAACTGATTATAATAGCCTATGTAATTATTGTTTGGGTAATCTTTTGACTCATCTAGCAGCACAAATCAGCATAAAAAAATTAAGATTTTTATATATTGAGCAAAGCATCATGATTATTGATAAGAGAAAAGAAAATCCACCCTATTTTTATATACAACAATAATACTGCATATGACACATTATATGCAATGTACAGCAATGCTGCAGTCAATAGCAATGGCCCAGACAAGCAAAGACCTTGTTCAATATTTAATTTGTGACCTGGACCTTAAAGCTGGGATGATGAAATGTGTATGTGACAACCCATCTAGTGATGATGCATAAGTGTATGACGTTTTAATAAATTATCTTGAGCGGATCAAAAGTTATGATACGGACAAGCAAAGAACTCATCTTAAATTTGACCTTGATTTGTGAGCTTGACCTTGAAGCTGGGGGGGATAAAAAAGTGTATGCAACACTTTGCCTAGTGATGATGCATGTGTGAAATGTTATTATTTTTTCTTGAGCAGATCAGAAGTTATGGGCAGGATAAATCAAAGTTCACGGCTGTTTTTATACAAACAGATGACTTTGACTATACCATAATATGTCCCACCTTCGATGGGTGTTTAAGAAGAACTAATAGAAGAATATAGATAATATGGATAGATGGATGGATGGATGGATGGATGGATGGATGGATGGATGGATGGATGGATGGATGGATGGATGGATGGATGGATGGATGGATGGATGGATGGATGGATGGTTAGAT